CAGACAGACAGACAGACAGACAGACAGACAGACAGACAGACAGACAGACAGACAGAGCGAGGGAAAAGGGGGTTAGTCATCATACTGGATATCAAGTGTTTTCTGTTAATGATACCATGGCACATCAGGCCACAGTAAAACTGCTCATCCACTGAATTCATTATTCAATAGCCCTCATCGGTATCATAAACCAGCAGAAATAAAATAAATTGTGTATGTTTAATGCCCCTTGCAATACAGTAAAGATGTGGGGCCTCGGAATTTAATGTCCATCTCCGATAGGACCGGGCCAAATGGGAAACAGCATGAAAAACACCTTTCCTAAGCGCAAGGAAACAAGTTGGACTGAGCTGAGCCTTGAACCCCCAAACCCACATTCACAAGTGCGGTAGCTTAACCGCTGGACTACCCATGCCACCATAAACCAGTATAAATGAATTAATAATTTTCAGAGTAACAAAATAAAAATCAATGTGTTCGGAGGCAGGGAAAGGCATAGACATAAAATAAGTTGTTTTTGGTGTTTCTTTTCTAGAATTTACTCATAGCTACAACATATATGATTTAAACGATTATTGTAGACCGAAGAAAAACAATAGTGAAACTGATTTCATCAGCAAGATAAAAATGTACCCCTGTAGCTCTGCATTATCCTTCTCTTCTATTTCTGCTGAGAGTATATACCTCGGAGACAATAAATTCATGTATTGTCAGATGACCTTCAACATTAAACAACACAGCACCTACAAAGCACCCACACTGAATGCAGAGATCAGTTTCAACCCTCAATTCTTGCCACAAGCCCACATCATACGCATTATGAAAAGGCAAACAGCATTCTTTTTCTTACAGTACTTTAGATAAAAACTGGAAAAACAAAGTGCTCAGACGATAAAATCACTTTGAAAAGTCCCACTTGTAAGTCCCCATCCTCAAGCTATGTTGGCTTGACGGTTAGGTTTTTATGACAAATGAGAACAATAAAATTCCAACTTCACCTAAAACAGAAAGAGACAAGACCATACAAACAGATGCTTTCTTGATTCTAGTTACTTCCATCTCTCTTCCTCCTCCCACCCCCCCCTCCAACCTTCCTAAAGCACTCCTACTAAAAAAAAATGAGTGAGTCACACTTGTCTAGCTTTTATGTCCAACTCACAGCATTGTTTATGTCGTAGACCACAATGGCGGCCTGGGCTCCCCTGTAATACATCGGCGCGAGGCTGTGATACCGCTCCTGGCCCGCCGTGTCCCAAATGTCAAACTTGATGGACTGGCCTTGAGCTTGCACTGTCTGGGTGAGGAAGGCCGCTGGGGGAAAATATTGAAATCACAGAACATGAAGACTATAGAGAACATTACATATATA